GCTCAAAAGACCCAAACTCTCCAACAGTCTTCAGGGAAGAGATGTTAAAGGCAAATTTGGGGAGAGGGATACATGACTTTCTTCTAACTGGTAAGTGCTGAGTTAATAGGGTGAAGACCTACAAGATCTTTTAGAACTAACATCCAAAAAATAAGTCCTTTTCATTATAGGGGACTGAAATGCAAAAGTAGGAAGTCAAGAAACACCTGCATTAACAGGCAAATTTGGTCTTGGAGTACAGAACGAAGCAGGGCAAAGGCTAATAGAGTTTTGCCAAGAGAACACACTGGTCATAGCAAACACCCTCTTCCAACAACACAAGAGAAGGCTCTACACATGGACATCACCAGATGGCCAACACCAAAATCAGATTGATTATACTCTTTGCAGCTGAAGATGGAGAAGCTCTATACAGTCAGCAAAAACAAGAGCAGATGCTTACTGTGGCTCAGATCATGAACTCCTTATTGCCAAATTCAGACTGAAATTGAATAAAGTGGAGAAAACTACTAAACCATTCAAGTATGACCTAAATAAAATCATTTATGATTATACAGTGGAAGTGAGAAATAGATTTAAGGGACTAGATCTGATAGAGTGCCTGATGACCTGTGGACAGAGGTTTGTGACATTGTACAGGAGACAGGGATCAAGACCATCCCCAAGAAAAAGAAATGCAAAAAAACAAAATAGCTGTCTGAGGAGGTCTTACAAATAGCTGTGAAAAGAAAAGAAGCGAAAAGCAAAGGAGAAAAGGAAAGATATACCCATTTGAATGCAGAATTCCAAAGAATAACAAGGAGACATAAGAACGCCTTCTTCAGTGACTAATGCAAAGATATAGAGGGAAACAATAGAATGGGAAAGACTAGAGATCTCTTCAAAAAAATTAGAGATACCAAGGGAACATTTAATGCAAAGATGGGCTCAATAAAGGATAGAAATGGTACGGACCTGACAGAAGCAGAAGATATTAAGAAGAAGTGGCAAGAATACACAGAAGAACTGTTATAAAAAAGATCTTCATGACCCAGATAATCACGATGATGGGATCACTCACCTAGAGCCAGACATCCTGGAATGTGAAGTAAGGTGGGCCTTAGGAAGCATCACTACAAACAAAGCTAGTGGAGGTGATGAAATTCCAGTTGAGCTATTTCAAATACTAAAAGATGATGCTGTGAAAGTGCTGCACTCAATATGTCAGCAAATTTGGAAAACTCAGCAGTGGCCACAGCACTAGAAAAGGTCAGTTTTCAATCCAATCCCAAAGAAAGGAAATCCCAAAGAATGCTCAAACTACCACACAATTGTACTCCTCTCACACACTAGCAAAGTAATGCTCAAAATTCTCCAACCCAGGCTTCAGCAATACGTGAACCATGAACCTCCAGATGTTCAAGGTGGTTTTAGAAAAGTCAGAGGAACCAGAGATCAAATTGCCAACATCTGCTGGATCATGGAAAAAGCAAGAGAGTTCCAGAAAAATATCTATTTCTGATTTATTGACTATACCAAAGCCTTTGACTGTGTGGATCACAGCAAACTGTGGAAAATTCTGAAAGAGATGGGAATACCAGACCACCAGACCTGCCTCTTGAGAAACCTGTATGCAGGTCAGGAAGCAACAGCTAGAACTGGACATGGAACAACAGACTGGTTCCAAATAGGAAAAGGAGTACATCAAGGCTGTATATTGTCACCCTGCTTATTTAACTATATGCAGAGTACATCATGAGAAATGCTGGGCTGGATGAAGCACAAGCTGGAATCAAGATTGCTGGGAGAAATGTCAGTAACCTCAGACATGAAGATGACATCACCCTTACAGCAGAAAGTGAAGAACTAAAGAGCCTCTTGATGAAAGTGAGAGTGAAAAAGTCGGCGTAAAGCTCAGCATTCAGAAAACTAAGATCATGGCATCTGGTCCCATCATTTCATGGCAAATAGTTGGGGAAACAGTGGCTGACTTTATTTTTGGGGGCTCCAAAATCACTGCAGACTGTGACTGCAGCCATGAAATTAAAAGATGCTTGCTCCTTGGAAGAAAAGCTATGACCAACCTCGACAGCATATTAAAAAGCAGAGACGCTACTTGGCCAACAAAGGTCCATCTAGTCAAGGCTATGGTTTTCCCAGTAGTCATGTATGGATGTGAGAGTTGGACTATAAACAAAGCTGAGGGCAGAGGAATTGATGCTTTTGGACTGTGGCATTGAAGACTCTTGAGAGTCCCTTGGACTACAAGGAGATCCAACCAGTCCATCCTAAAGGAGATCAATCCTGGGTGTTCATTGGAAGGACTAATGCTGAAGCTGAAACTCCAATACTTTGGCCACCTGATACGAAGAGCTGACTCATTTGAAAAGACCCTGATGCTGGGAAAGGTTGAGGGCAGGAGAAGGAGACAACAGAGGATGAGATAGTTGGATGGCATCACCAACTCAATGGACCATGAGTTTGGGTAAACTCCAGGAGTTGGTGATGGAAAGGGAGGCCTGGCGTGCTGCAGATGATGAGGTCGCGAAGAGTCCGACATGACTGAGCGACTGAACTGAACTGAATAGGGTGGTGTTCCCGCCAATCATCAGCTTTTTGGTTCTAACCCGTCTGGGGGGTCTGTGCTTGTGCTCAGCCTGAAGGAACCATCCTCCACATGGGTTGTGGTGCCTCAGTTCCTATAGATGAACTCAGAGATGGATCAGATTGCTCTGTATATCCCTTGAGGAGGAAGTAGGACTCTATCACTGCACTACAGTTTCTTTTTAAAAATATTTATTTATTGTTTGTTTGACTGTGTCAGGTTTTAGTTGCAGCAAGTGGGAGGCGGTTTTCAGACTGGGCATCGAGCCCCGGGCCCCCCGCACTGGGAGCATGAAGTCTTAGCCACTGGACCACCCGGGAAGCCCTTGGACTACTGTTTCATTACTGCTTTTCCCTTGTTTCGTCATTTCCTCACTTCCCTAATTAGCAGCTGTGAATCTGCCCTTTGGAACTCCAGGAAGGCGCAGAAGGCTGAAGCCTCTTTCTTACAAACAAGAAACAGGGAACACAGACAGGTTTTTGCATCCCAGAGTCTATCCTGTATAGAACCGTTGTATCCTACACTCCTCAATTTTGAGGGGGTACAGGTACGGGGCAAGGAAGGGAATAGTTTTGGATAGAGAGGTAATGATAAACTCGGCAGAAGATCTTAGCTTTACGAGGACCCAGTTTCAGAACTGAAATACGAAGCATACCCAGCAACTTCTGAGTTGCCAGCAATTCAATAAGGGCTTGAAAAATATCAGAGTAAAAACTTTTTAAAGTCTTAGATTATCATTTTTAAAGAGCTTTTTCATAGCAAACAAGTATATCAGAAGAACTAGAACTTTTTATTAATGAAAAGTATAAAGCTGCCTCTTAACTTTCATGTTTTTGCAACAGCCTTCCAGAAACTTGAAAGAGTGGATAAGCATCTCCAACATTATACCCACTAGGAACATATGCCATGGAAAAAACAAAGGAACATCCTAAACGGTAAGATAGTAAGATGTCTTATCTATGCTCTCAGATGGTTAGATACTTTCCCTTGAATCATAACCATGATGGATTAATAATGCAGCGTCTACAGTCTCATACATTAGCAGAGATATGCCAACATCTTCCCCTTAATGTTCAAGAGAGACTATATTTTATAAATGCCAACTTTCTATGTTAACTGGTTTTTTCATTATTCAGTAATAAACTAAGATACTCTGTCCTCTCTATGGTTGACCCAGAAAATGAAATAATCTTGTCAATCCCTTCAAATACTAGTAGTTTTAAAGACTTTCAGAAATTTCCATAAACCAACAATAGCATAAATAATATCAAAAAGTCCTTGTTGTTTATTTTTAAGTGTGTCTATCTCATTTTCCGGGCTTCCTCGGTGGCTCAGAGGTTAAAGCGTCTGCCTGCATCTGCATGCAACGCGGGAGACCTGGGTTCGATCACTGGGTCAGGAAGATTCCCTGGAGAAGGAAACAGCAACCCACTCAAGTATTCTTGCCTGGAGAATCCCATGGACGGAGGAGCCTGGCAGGCTACAGTCCACGGGGTCACAAAGAGTCGGACACGACCGAGCAACTTCATCTCATTTTTCTTTTCACTCTGCACCTCACAATGTCAAGCTTTTCCTCAAGATTAAAGAAATGATGTATGAGAGAATCTCCTGTCACTCTTCCAAAATTTTACAGGAAATTCTTACAAGTTTGTAGACATAATTATCTTGATTTCTAGAGAAGAAACTAATGTAGAAAAATTTCCAGGTAAGTGTTTTTCCAAATATTTTAGAAACTAGAGAAAATAAGAAAATACTCTTTCAAATAACAAATCACTTATGTTATATATGATACACATTACCATTCATTTTTTTAAAACTAAAATTATTTCCCTGTGTGATTTATATTATAAATTCTTAGGCCAACTGAAGTAATCTATTTCTTAAAGCTTTTTTTTTTTCATTTATTTTTATCTATTTCAGTGGTTACCAAAAAAGACTGGACATCGGATCATGATGCATGATATTCACAAAACGTGTGATGTAATCCCAAATGGAGGACTGCAAATCAGAAGATTATGAAGATTATGAACAGTTCTCAATACACTACCGTCAGAAACTCATTCTCATCAAAAACTACAATGAGGTATCGCCTCACACCACTGAGAATGGCCTTCACCAAAAAGTCTGAAGAGAGTATGAAGAAAAGGGAATCCTACTACACTGTCGGCGGGAATGTAAATGTTGGTGCAGCCATTCTGGAAAACGATGTGGAGATTCCTTAAAACACAAAATAGAGTTACCATATGACCCAGAAATCCCACTCCTAGGCATACTCCAGAAAGGACGTAAACTCTTAATTCGAAAAGCTATGTGCACCCGTGGAGCGCAGGCCTTTAAGGCCTGTGCTCGCCTAGCTTCAAGACTGAAGAAAAAGCTGAGAGAGAACAGACATATCAATGGATCAGGGGCATCTTACCTGTCTGAAGCAAGGTCCTGGAGCGACACCCCCCTGTGTGCAGCAGGCGCAGGAAGAAACGGCGGCAGTCTCCACTCCCTGGGGCAGGGGAAGAGGAGTTGACCAGTTACGAGGGAATTGACAGCAGGTGGAGTTCATTAGTTACCAGGGAAACCAGTAGAGGCCACGCCCCTCACCCCCTCTGTGATGAGATCTCCAGCTGGGATCTGGGGCAAGTTGGAGGAAGGTCAATCCTGTGAATGGTTTGTCAGCGAAGCTGCTGCTGCTGCTAAGTCGCTTCAGCTTTTCCGACTCTGTGTGACCCCATAGACGGCAGCCCACCAGGCTCCTCCGTCCCTGGGATTTTCCAGGCAGGAACACTCGAGTGGGTTGCCATCGCCTGTTCGGTGTCAGCGAAGCAGGCTCTGGCTACAGAGAGTAAGAGAATAGCTCTCTTGAATGGCCGGGTCTTACAGCCCCAGGGTTCAGAGCAGCACTGTTTATAATAGCCTAGAAATGGAAGCAACCTAAATGTCCATCTACAGATGAATGGATAAAGAAAATGTGGTACATGCACAATAGAATATTACTCAACCATAAAAAAGAGTAAAATATTTTCATCTGCAGCAGCATGGATGGACCTAGAGATTATCACACTAAGTGAAGTAAGTCAGGCAGGGAAAGACAAATATTATATAATATCACTTATATGTGGAATCTAAAAAATAATAAATATCAGTTTATTTACAAAACAGAAACATACTCACACACATAGAAAAATGTGATTGCCACAGGGGAAACCAGAAGGAGAGAAGAGATAGATTAGAAATATGGGACTAAGAAATACATACTTCATATAAAATAGGTAGACACAAGGATTTACAGTATAGAGCATGGAAATATATTCACTATCTTGTAATAGCCTATAATGGAAAAGAATCTGAAGCTATATGCCTAAAACTAATACTACACTGTAAATCAACTATAGTTAAATAAGAAATTTTTTATAATACTCATGTTCAAGAAAATACAAGGGAGGGAAGTAAATAAAAGTGGTGCTTTTACCTTTTCTTCTTTTTAAATTTCACAACCCTAGGATTTTAGCTTTTATTAACAGCAAATTTGTTATGATCTACCTCATGTCTGTAGAAGAACTAAAAGACACGAAGAAGAACTAAAGAGACTCTTGATGAAAGTGAAAGAGGAAAGTGAAAAAGTTGGCTTAAAACTCAACATTCAGAAAACTATAGTAGTCATGTATGGATGTGAGAGTTGGGCTATTAAGAAAGCTGAACGCCAAAGAATTGATGCATTTGAACTGTGATGCTGGAGAAGACTCTTGAGAGTCCCTTGGACAGCAAGGAAACCAAACCAGTCTATCCTAAAGGAAATCAATCCTGAATATCCATTGGAAGGACTGAGGCTGAAGCTGAAACCCCAATACTTTAGCCACCTGGTGCGAAGAACAGACTCATTGGAAAAGACCCTGATGCTGGGAAAGATTGAGGGTGGGAGGAGAAGAGGATGACAGAGGATGAGATGGTTGGATGGCATCATTGACTCAATGGACATGGGTTTGAGCAAGCTCCGGGAGTTGGTGATGGACAGCGAGGCCTGGCATGCTGCAGTCCATGTGGTCACAAAGAGTTGGACACGACTGAGCAACTGAACTGAACTGACTCTCTTGTCTGATATTTTACTGTAGTTGCTAACTCTCCCCTCTTTATCTTTCACTAGTTCATTCATTTCAAACACTGTTTTTTGACCACACATTTATTGAATGCCTGCTGGGCATCAGGCTTTGTGATGGGCACTGGAGATGAGTAAGAGATAGATGGGCTCCAGGTTAGACATTTGTATCTGGCCTCCTATTTGCATTTCATGGGGCACAAAGAAGGGGACTTCAGGCTGGATACTTACAACTACTAGCATTTCCTGAGACAAGAGATAGATGGCCTCCAGTTAAGGCATTTACAGCCAGCCTCCTGTTTGCCCTCCGAAATGGAAGTAACAACAGAAACAGGCTAGATAGCCAGTGTTTGTCTCTTGTAAACACCTTAAGGTAATAGTCATGGAAAGGACAAAGAGAGCCAAAAACCTGTTTGAAAGGATTAAAGGATCTCCACTCCCCTCTTTCTTGGGACAAAGGAGACACTGCACTTGCACAGAAAGGCTCCTTGTGAGTCAAAAGTCAGGGGATAATGCCAGGCCATAATGAATCTTGCTCCTTCCAGAAGACTTCAATTTGAGACCCATCTTGGCTGAGGGGTGAGTGTGCACCCCAGGGGAGGGTCCCAGGGTAGGTCAGGTATGGAAAAAGAAACCGGATGATTGGCCTGAAGGAAGACAAGGACTCGAAAGAACTGATCTATATGAATGACTTAACTGCCTCTGTACCGTGCTCCTCCTCCTAGGGGGACACCTAACAACCCTGTCTTTCCGGGTGTGCATCCCTGCCCTGCTTCTGTCTCCTAAACTGTTTCTCTATGTGCTCTCCCTCTTGCTGTTGTGCTTTGTCTCTAATAATAAACTTTGTACCTGAATTTTCATTTCTGCTTCCGTGATAAATAAATTTTTCGTTGGGGGTGAAGATCCAGGCCTCTAGCCCTTGCTGCTCTGGTGGCTAGGATTCCTGGTTTTCATCCGGGCTACCCAGGTTCAATTCCTGGGCAGGGAGTTAAGATCTTGCTTCATGCCACCGCTCACTGCAGCCTCGCTGAGATCAGAGAGACAAATGAGGAGTCCCTGAAGTCAGTTTTGTCTTTTAATGATCAATATATTGAATGCGTGTGAATGTTGGATTGCTGTTTTATGTTGGACTCCTATAACTGAGAAATTATCAAATGTTCCTTAGCTCAAAATTCACTGCAATTTTAAAATGACTGGACACCTTCCCTAGTTTTCCTCATTTGCATTGACTGATGACTATCTATTTGACAGAGAGAGTGAATGAGACACTTTAGGTTTTAAGAGGACCAATCATGGATGGAGACATGCATTCTGGTAAAAATGGGTGGTTTGCATGCATGGGATGCTCCTCCCCTCCTTGAAACCTACTGAAGCTAAGGGAAGTCAAGATATGTTCTATGTACAACTAAAACATTCCAACTTAGCATCCCAACCAAGAAAAATTAAAAATGAACCCTGAAGCTCCTCAATGAGATGAATTAGGACAAACACTGAACCATCAAGGAAAATAAATAAAAGCTTTGCTTAATTTCCTGGAATATGGAAATCAGAGAGCCCCAAATCATTTTGCCTCAAACCCTCTTAAAATCTTTTGAAAGGGAAAATATTTTTAAATATGCTTCAAAATTAATGAAAAATGTTACACAAAATTAAGACAAATCATGTGAAAGTGGGAACTCCAGTCTAGGATGTAAACTTGGAGCCTGCTGGCCTGGAGTAGTGTTGTCATTCTCAAAGTGTTGTCCCTGGACACCAGCATCACCTAGCAAGGTGTTGAAATGCAAATTCCTAAACCCATTAAATCATTAATTCTGGGAGTTGTGCCCAGCAATCAGTGATTTAACAGAGCAATAGTAATTCTGAAATTGTAGCAAATATCAGAATCCTATGGAAGGCTTGTTCATTTCCTCAGCATGCTGTCTGGGAATCAGCAGCATGGTTAGAAATGTAGACACTCAAGTCCCATGCCAGAGACTGAATCAGAATCTGCAGTTTAGCAAGGTACACAGGTGACTCATGCACATTTAAGTTTGGGAACCACTGTTCTACAGTAATGCCTTGCAAACTTTTGTGACCCACAGGAATTTTCTTTGTGACACAGTGTACACACATTGCAGTAAGGTCAGGACTAGATGAGATGAGATACCCAGGATGCAAAATTTAAGGAGATACTAATTCTCAAGTTCATGCAAGTGTACTTCAAATATATGTGTGGTTAGGACTGTGTAATATGTATGTATATTTGCTTGTCTGTATTATTAATGACTCTGCAGTGAACCTGAATTAATACTATAATTTAAAAAGAAAACTCTTCTTCTTCAAAAATAAGACAAGTAAGAAGTGAAACAGATACTAAGACTCTTCTTAAGATTTGTGTTAACAGGAACCTGAATCACAGTGAGGTGGATATAATGTTCTAAACCAATAGTGGATATTTCCCAGGTTCAATTCTTCTCATGCTTCAAATTCCCTCAAACTTATCCTTCTCTCCAGAAAGAGCCTCATTCCTTTTGTATTCATTCCTTTTAATGGCTCATCTGAATGGGTCAGGTCCAAAATAATCTTCAGCTGTGCCATGTGGTGGAAACCAATCAAGAGCATAATAACCTACCATGTTTCCAGGTCGTTCCCACACCAAGGGTTGGAAATCATCTTGCACTGAATCCACAGCTGGGCAGTCTGCATAACCCTGGCCCAGCTGTGAGCTCCCCTGAGCTGAACAGAAGGTGCACCAGGATTCAGCACATTTCTTAGGGCAATGCTACTGAGACTGGGCATAGAGATTAACAAGCTAAAATTCTTGCTCACTCGCCAGATTTTAAAAAACAATTTTCGAGGCTTACAGCCTTATGTAAAGAGAGGAACTTGATGTAAATAATGTAAGATTATTGAGGGAAACAGGAACACTTTAAGTGTCTTGTTTGAGATTATATATATATATCAGCTACTCAAAATTATGCTCTTTCTGAAAAAGAGCCATGTTCTGATTCTCCCCTTCATTGTGAAAATAAAAGTACTGACAAGTGATGGCTTGGCATATTGTAAGACAATGCTCCATCTACAATGATCTTCAGACTCTTGAATTAACTCAGTAAAAAGATGCATTCATTACACAGACCAAAATATATTGCACACTGCTGGCAGCTATCCCATCTGTCCATTGCCATGGCTACTGCTCTATTTCAGATCTTCTCTGTCTCTCTCCTGGACCCTGCATGAGCCCATCACCCATGCTCCAAGGCCCACTTGGTATGCCTTTTAATTTTTTTCATGATAACTAGACATGATATACTAGGGAAAAGGAAACTCTGGAAATAGGCTGTTAGTAAGGTGAGGGTGAGGTATGGGGACAGGATAGTTTTTCTATAGTCTTATGATTAGGTCTCAGCCTTGAGTGACCCTGGCCCCTGGACTGTGAACTTCTCGAGAGTTTCTCAGTGGTTGTCTCC